GACAGCAATCGGCCGTTGGGCGGCATGTGGCGCAGCCTACAGCAGCGGGCCAGAAAATAATTCATTGTGTGCACAAGCTCATTGTATGCTGCCGTGTCGATGATACGGCTGGAAGAAAGTTCTGCAAGGAACTCCAACCCGTCAAGCGGGCGAAGGCCCTGAGAATAGGTGATAACTTGTTGCACCGTACTAGCAACGACAACCGGAGCAATACTGAGGTGCCGATGTATTGTCATGGTCAAAAGTGCGGTGGGTATTTGCAGCGTAGGTAGCATACACATCGCCTCTTGCACAGCAGACGTTTGTTTTTTGGCAATGGATGAAAGAATAGAGTCATCAATAACATCGGCGGCTTCATCAAGTGAGGCAAAAAAGGCGCGGTACGCTGAGATGGCCTTCACATGTAGAGGCGCCGTACCCTCCTTTAGGAGAAGAGAGCTAACAATCCACTCCGTCACAACACTGGCTATGCACCGCGCACTAGCCAAGATTTCATCGCCAACGCACATCGCAGCGTCACGAATAACCGCCGCAAGCGTGCAAAGAAGAAGATGGGGCTCCGCGTCCGCTGCCAAAATTGCCATAATTTCATCCCGCGATTGAAGTCGTAAGAGCGCACGTGGAAGTAAATTCCTCATGAGCAATTTTCGTATCGGTTCTGACAAGGCTTCCTGTACACGCGCTGCACGAATTAGCGGCAAAATCACGGCAACGGTATCGCATGTTTTTATGGGAACAGAAAGGGCGAGCAAGTGCACAAGCTGTGCCGTCCGCACACATCGCAACAGCGACAGATCCATAGCATCAAGCGAGCAGTATCGATCTAGCATGGCAAAAGGTGCATCCGCAGCGGATGCGCTGTTCTCCCGCAAGAGCACCTGATGCTCCGCCCACAGTTCCGTGCTGCAAGCAATCCCTTGCAGAAGATTACTGGACGCAAATGGCACCAATCGGGAGAGTTGTCCACAGGCTGCGAGGCCACACGACGGCACCCGCCCAACATCATCAAACAACTCAAGGGATGCCGTGTCCAGCTGCTCCACACTCACCTCATACGATTCCAGCAGCCCTTCCACTTTCTCCACCAGGGTGTTAAACTGCTTCACACCGAGAGAGTGCTTCTTCCTTGCCATCGCCCGCAACAGGGGATCCTTGTCATTCTGCAGAGCCACACGAAGTGCTTTGATGGACATGTACTGCTCGGCGTGTAGTCTCGGTGCAACAGTGGCCACAATGCGAAA